CTACAACCTTCTATATGTGAGTCACTACACTTAGCGTCACCCAGGAGCCACGGCTGGGACGTGGTAGTGTTACGGCTCCCACACGAAGACCCTAACATAAACACAACCTCATCCTAACACCTGGGGTATTTATAACGAAGAATTTGAATTCGAAAAATCACTCTCCACCTATCCCTCTATAGGCAATTATTAATTATGATTCAGCATTCACTCTGCATTCGCAAATCTTTTCTTTGTTGGACACTTTACCCCTAAACCAATAAACGGAAGAAACACAAATCTCACTCCCACTGCATAGTTTGGTGAATCTAGTTGTTGATGCCAATAATCCGTAGGAAATTACAGAGTCTATCTTTCAATGAGAATGATCTATTGAAAATAAATTTAGTCAGTTTACCCTCAAGAAACCTCCCATTGACAGCGTTCTCGGAGATACTGGCATCAAGGTCTCTCCAAAGTCGTTCGATCCCCTGTGTGTGTGCTCCGTTTATAGGATTCACATGGCAATATTGGTGGTTCACGCGTATGTGGCGATAACCAATAGTTCCCACATGGGAATAGCTGGTCCAGCAATCACTCACTACGGTTGTACCTCTTTGGATGAACTCTGCGATTAGAGGGATGAGTGTCGCGGCGGAACGATTGGCGATGGGCACGATAACTGCTCGTCCCGTCCCCCTCTCGTAACACCCAAACACCCATTGCCCTCTTACCTCTCTGCCTCGATTTAATTTCCTCCCCCCCCCCCCCCCCCCCCNCTGTCTGCCTCGATTTAATTTCCGCCCCCCCAACCTCTTCTCATCGATCTCAACAACCGCACCAATCCCACCCAGCATGCCACGCTCCAAGTTCACCCATTCCATCAATTTGGTGTTGATTTTCTTAAGCCAAAATATTACGGTCCTTGTTGACATTCCTGATTCGTAGCTGAGTGTTTCATGTGTTATTCTTTTGTTTTTTATATATAGAAAAATTAGTATGAATATTTTTCTAATATTGGTTCTTTTATTTTGGACGATCGAGTCATCATAAACGCTGATAGAAGTGTCACATTGTCTTTTTATTTTTGGTTTTGATAAGTAAATTGTTTTTTTGCATCTAAACAGTTCTCTACTCCAATCCGTTTACATCTCACCACCACACACCTTGCATAGTTCGCGTGGCTTAATGCATCCTTGTTCTCTCAAAAATTCAATAATCCTTTGTTTACGTTCACAAATACGAAAACATTGTTCCAGTTTCATTGCGGTGTTGATATATATATGAAAACTGTGAAAATGCAAAAAAATTTCAATTTTTGGAATTATTACTTTGTGTAACTTCTCTACCACTCGTTTCCGACAACTTTACCCTTAACAAAATTTGTTTGTATTAACAAAATGAAGATGTCTGTGTACTCAGAATCAGTACTTTATAGGAAGGACCTATTCTTCACTATTACCATTTTTTTTAATGTTTGAGGGGGGATTGTACAAAGAGGAGGCTTCATGTAAGGCAGGATTATTCATGCAGGTAGTGATATTCTGGGGGGTCTTATAGTCGAGGGGATTTTATAGAATGGGGGTTTTAACAATGGGTAGAGGGGTTTCCATAAGGGGGTCTAAGTGCGGGGCATGAAAAAGGTGAATTTATATCAGGGGTCATATATATTATTTACTGGAAAAATGGGGGGAGAGGGGGGCATTGTATATAGAAAATTTGTGAGGGTTGGCAAGGCGGGGGGGGGGAGAATATTGAGAATAAATAACCCTAAAATTGAATCGTTGAGTTTTTCAAAGGTATCTCTGAAACTAAGGGAGATAGTGAATTGTGACTGAAAAATAAGGAGGGCAGGGGGGGGGTTGAGAATGCACCATGAAAAGATTGAGGCGGTGAGTTTTTCAAAGATATCTCCAAAACTAAGGGAGATAGCGAATTTTTACTGACAATTTGGGGCGGCGGGGGGAGGGGGGTCGTGAATGCACAATGAAAGGATTGAGTCGGTGAGTTTTTTAGAAATATCTCCTAAACTAAGGGAGATAGCACATTTTGACTGAAAATTTGGGGGAGGGAGGGGGGGCAGGGGGAATTGTGAATACACAATGAGAGAATTGATTTGGTGAGCTTTTCAAAAATATCTTCTAAAATAAGGGAGATAGCGAATTCCTAATGACAATTTGGGAGGTGGGCAGGGGGGGTTGTGAATGCACAATAAAAAGATTGAGTCGGTGAGTTTTTCAGAAATATCTCCTGGAGATTGTGCATTCACAACCCCCATCCTCCGCCCCTCTCGCCGGCCCAAATTTTCAGTAAAAATTCGCAATCTCCCCTAGTTTAGGAGATATTTTTGAAAAACTCACCAACTCAATTTTTTCATTGTGCATTCACAACCCCCCTCCGCCCCGAATTTTCAATAAAAATTCGCTATTTCCCTTAGTTTCGGAAATATCTTTGAAAAAATCACCGACTAAATTTTTTTGAGTGTGGATTCTCAAAACACAAACCCTCACCCACCCCCCAACTTTTTAGTAAAAATTCGCTATCTCCTTTAGTTTCCGAGATATTTGTAAAAAACTCACCGATTAAACTCCTTTGGTTGTGAATTGTCCATGCACATTCCCCCCCTCTGCCCCGCTTTGCAAAATCCTTCCTCCTCGCCAATTTCCGGGTTCGATTTTCAGGAATTTAGTAACTTAGAAATCAACATTTATAATTTGTTACCACCTGTGTAATTACATAATTCATAGATTTCATTGATGATTACTCGAAAAATTGAATAATTCAACATTTTGATTAATCGTTGAACAATCAATAATAGAAGAATAATTAGTAAAACTGATTAACGACTGAATTGGATAAGTTTGGATTTGAGTTGATGATTGAATCAGTAACCGAAAATTGTCCGATAATCATTCCTCATTTCTCAAGTAAATTTGTATTATTAAATCTCAATTACCGATTATCCAAGGAAGTGAAAAATTCATATTTCATATGAACTGCCAAGCAAGTAATATGAAATGGCTGAATATAAAATACCGATCGAAAAAATAATGGTCAATTCTATATTTTCATTTATAATTACTGAAATAATTTTGAATTTTTAATGACGATTACTCAATGACAATGTAATAGATATTCAGAGCGATTCAGTTATTGATTACTTATGTAATCTGTTATAAGTACGTTGAATTACTCATTTTCCAATTAATAGAAAAATTTCACATTGAATTACTTGACTGACTGAGTAATAGAGTAACGGTAATTTGACATTACAATTGTCCGGAACCTTGGTTGTGTGGGATGCTCATCACTTTCGACCGTACTTGTATGGATGAAGATTGACCGTAATTACCGATCACAGGCCTTTGAGGTGGATATTTAACATGAACGACCCAGGATCAACGGTCCTACATTGGCGAATCAAACTAGAGGAGTATGATTTCGAGGTGGTATACAAGCCTGGAAAATTAAATACCAACGCTGACGCATTGAGTCGAGTCAACGTTGTAACTGGAGCGCACGCAAAGGAACAGACGGAGAGAGTAGTGTACTCGGACTCCAACGACGGGGTCATTACACCTGCTGAAAATGAAATTTGGGGAATACTACGGGAGTATCATGACACACCGATTGCTGGTCATCCTGGCGTAAAACGAATGTACGCTAAGCTGAAACAAAAATACTTCTGGAGAGGGATGAAGTCTGATGTGGAGAAATACGTGGGAAGCTGTGAGGAATGTCAACTCAACAAGCTGGGAAAAGCCACGAAAGTACCCATGATTGTCGGAGAGAGCCCTGAAACTGCATTTGAGTAGTGTGCCATGGAAATTGTCGGCCCATTACCTATCACGGGCGCAGGAAATAAATATACCCTGACGTTCTAGGATGCTTTGACGAAATTCAGTAAGGCTATTCCCATCCCTGATCAGCACTTGACACGCTGTCTGCTCTTGTCCAGAGGGTTGAGTCTGTTGAGTCGGAAGTTGCGGCATTGGCTGAACGGTTTGATAGCTTGGAGAGTGAAAAGCGTGAGCTGCGTACGGCCATTGACAATGTCGGCACTACTGGAGTTACTGAGCGGGTCTCAGAGGTTGTGATGGGTAGAGTGGGCACGGTTGAAGCGTCTCTGAAAGAGCTGGCTTGTTCCATTGCAAAGATTAACGCGGAGAGAGCTCGTTCATCACCTGACATCTTGATATCTGGATTGGAGATCCCTGTCAATGCTGATGGAAAACGACTGTCGTATGTTGTTCTCAAGATGGTGCTTCCTGCTCTCGACTTCACCAGCATCGTCAATGTACGGCCTCTTCGTACCAAACCACTGGCAGGGTATACTGCTCGGGCTACAAGTGGTGCATCTGGGTCTGGCAGGACTGGGGCTGGGACGAGACCTCCTTCTCTTTTGGTGACACTGACATCTGGTGCGTTGGCTCATGAGCTGATGATTGCCAAGGCTCGTCATGGTAAATTGCATACAGCAGCGTTGAATGATGACCTTGTGACAGCTGCTGGCGCTTGTCTACCGTTGAAATCATCACTGATCAACGTCAATGAGTTCCTTCCCCCTGATCTTTAGATATCGTGCTGTGAAGCATGCAGCTAAGAAGAAAGGGTTCCCCACTTTCATCCGGGATGGGGAAGTCTTGGTGAAAAGGAAAAAAGAAGATCAAGCTATACGTATTGCATCAATGGATGATCTAAAAAACTTCTTGCTGGGCTCTCAATAAATTTTTCTCTTCCTTTATCCCCCCTTACTGCTACATCTTATTCTGCTGCTGATTCTCAACCTCCTTCACTTCTTCATAACTCTTCCCAGATGTCGATTTCCCATTCGTTATCTCACTTGTATCTTGAACATAGTGTGGCTGCATCACTGTTGGAGCTGGATGGGTTACGTGTGTGTCACCTCAATGTGAATTCTCTCCGAGCTCACATTGAGAGGGTCAGACACTTTCTTGATTCTCGTCCCCCGTTCCATGTTATCGCCATGTCCGAGACTAAACTTTGCTCTTTTGTTGATAATGGTTGTTTCGTTGGAGGGTTATAAGCTCTTCAGACGGGATCGTAATAGGCGTGGTGGTGGAGTCCCACTCTTTATCAATAACTGTTTTAGGGTTAAGGTCCTGGCTTCCTCTTCACATGTCTGGACAAAGAGACCTGGTCTGCCTGAGTATCTGTTTTGTGAGATTGCCTGCCATGGTGTCTTTCCAATATTTGTTGCGGTGGTTTACAGGCCGCCACATGCTCCGTTTGTCGAGTGCAGTGACTTCATACCTTCCTTGCAGATGCACTTGCAGGAGTACAGTTCCAAGGTCACTCTCGGTGATTTCAATGCCGATCAGCTCTCATCAGCAAATGCGGATGCAGTTTTTGTGCGTAGCATTTGCTCTGATAATTCTCTTAGGCGACTAGAGCATGGAGCTACTCATCACACTAGCACATCTGATACCTGGCTTGATCTCTGCCAGATCGACTGTGAAGACACTCTCCTATCTTGTTGGAAGACTGATGCGCCCTTTGTTGATGGACATGATCTGATCGCGGCTGTGACGAGAGTCTTTCTGCCACGTCCTCCTCTAAGCAGTGACATCTGCTACAGGGACTTTTCTTCGCTGGATGACTGGAAACTCAACTCCTGGCTAGTCTTCTGTGACTGGTCAGGATTCGAGGGATCGTCATCTTTGGACAGCATGGTCTTGTCCCTTTGCTCTAATCTCTGCAGCGCTATTGATGAGTCGGTGCCTTTGAAGACAGTAAGGAAGTCTTCTAAGCGTAAGCCGTGGTTTACGAGGCATGTTAACTCTCTTGTAGCTGAGAGAGATCACCTTTATAGGGTGTATAAACGTGTACACTCGAGGAGGGCGCTGGAGGATTATCGTCTGGCTCGTGATCGGGCTCACCGAGAAGTCGAGGGGGCGCGTCAGTTGTATTTCCAGAGGAGAATGGAACCGCTGTCTGAACCTGCTCAGGTTTGGAAGGAGCTGATGCACTTTGGAGTTGTGCATGTGGAAAATCTCAGTGCTGATCTAGACCCTGAGGCTCTGAACGATCACTTCGCTGATTTGTCCTTTGACTCAAACGAGCCTTTGGTGGCTGATTTTCTGAATTCTATGGAGGCTTCAGGGAGTGCTGCTGTTGGTGGTTTCTCTTTCAGACCTGTCACTGCTGATGAGGTTCCGAAAGCTATTTGGCATTTCTCTACTGAAGCTAAGGGGGCTGATGGAATCCCACGATCAGTGGTCACTGCTGCTGTCCCGTCACTACTACCGTTCCTACTAAAGCTATTCAACAAGTCCTTCGCTGTCTCCTCTTTCCCTCCAGAGTGGAAAAAATCCCTTATTGTGGCGCTTGGTAAGGTAAAAAAATCCGCTGTCGCCCAATGACTACAGGCCAATAGCGCTGCTGTGCTTCTTGTCCAAGGTCTTGGAGAGACTAGCCTCCTTACAGATCCTTGGATTCCTTACTGAGTGCTCAATACTGGATCCACTCCAAACTGGTTTTCGTCCCTACAATGGTACGCAGACGGCACTACTGAAGCTGACGGATGACATACGTAGGGGTATTGACAAACGACAACTGACGATGCTTCTTCTCTTTGACTTCAGCAAGGCTTTTGACTCTGTGTGTCATGTGATGATTCTTCAGAAGCTGCTCAGGTATGGCTTCTCCCTATCTGCTATCAGTTGGATAGGGTCATATCTCAGCGATCGTTCACAGGCAACGCTGGGGGGGCCGCGTGGTTTGTCTTCTTCCCGTTCCTTGAACAAGGGAGTGCCGCAGGGATCTGTACTTGGTCCTCTGCTGTTTCTGTTGTTCATTACTGATATCTGTAAGAATTTAGCCCTGGATACTCAGCACCTAATATATGCGGATGATCTTCAGGTTTATTTGCAATTCTCTAGGGAAGAGTTTGACACGGCTGTTCTCAGGATGTCAACTGTCGCCAATTGCATTATGGACTGGGCTTTACATAATCGCTTGAAGCTGAATGTCGCGAAGACAAAGGCAATTATTTTCGGCTCTCATTACTTTGTTAATGACATATACTCTTTGCCCGATATTTCNTGGACTGGGCTTTACATAATCGCTTGAAGCTGAATGTCGCGAAGACAAAGGCAATTGTTTTCGGCTCTCATTACTTTGTTAATCACATATACTGTTTGCCCGATATTTCTATTAGCATTGGTAATTCATTCGTTCCATTTGAAACTTCAGTGCGTAGCTTAGGAGTGGTGCTTGACTGCAAGCTCACCTGGAGAGATCATGTGGCAGGTGTAACTCGGAGAGTGCACTCTGTGATGTACCATCTGCGCTTCTTCCGAGCTAGCACTACTCTTGCTTTGCGTAAACACCTAATTGAGACTCTGGTGTTTCCCCTGGTTGACTACTGCTGTCTTGTGTATGGAGGTCTGTCTGAGGAGCTCTCTCAAGATCCAGCGCCTCATCAACGTGGGAGTTAGATACGTTTTTGGGCTCAGGAGGGACGAGCACGTTACCCCTTATCGCACACGACTGGGCTGGATGACATGTGAGACTCGCAGGAAATACTTTCTTGCCTGTCTCACTTTTAAAATCTTGCGGTTTGGAGATCCAAATTGTCGTGCTCATTTGTTTGTTGCTAACCGGGGTGTGCGTTTTATAAGGGGTGAGGTGAATCTGCTGCTCATTAAGCCTTTCAGAACCGAATCCCTTCGTCGCTCTTTTCACGTGTCTGTCGTCTATGTTTGGAACGAGCTCCCCTCTTCCGTTCGTGATATCCCTTCTTTCCTGCCCTTTCAAATAGTCCTGCGTGCGTTTCTCAGCAACCACCCCGAATTTTTCACCTTTTTATTGTGAGCCCATGTGATGAATTTTGTATTTTTGTTTTGTTTTTGCATTTTATTACTGTTTGAGTGCGTCTAGTTTGCTTAAGCTACTTGCAACAACTCTATGCTTATTTTTTTCCGTTATTTACTCTGTATTTTTCTGTATGACTTTAGTCATGTTTACTTTGTACAACATAATGTACAGTTAATAAATTTCAATGAATCAATCAATTAATCAAGAGGCTAACACAATCGGACGTGGGTTCGCGGAGAAAATAATCTACGAATACGGTACACCACAGAAGTTGCTCACGAATCAAGGACCAAATTTCGTGGCAGAAATGTTCAAAAATATCTGTAAACTTCTGAGAAATAAGAAGATTCAGATAACGGCTTATCATCCGCAGACTAATGGCATCGTTGAGAAGTCACATCGCACTCTAGCGGAATTCTTGAGAAGCTTCATTGAAGAGGATAAGACGGATTGGGATACGTGGCTACCATATGCGATGTTTGCATATAATCCCACTCCCCACACGGCTACAAAAATGACGCCTTTTGAGCTGATTTTTGAAAGATCGAGAGCCGTTAAACAGCTGCCACGTTTGACGTACTGTTATGACGACTTCGCTCAGGGACTTCGGGAGAGATTACGTGCCGCTGATCAGGAGGCGAAAGAGACCCTAGACAAAGTAAAAAAATGCGGGGGAAGTGGAATTCGAAGTTGGAGATAAAGTTCTTCTGAAAAACAATGTTTTGTGACGCGGAAGATCAAAGAACTTGACGCAGCCCTGGATAGGTTCCTATGTGATTGTCGAGAGGAAGTCTGATGTCAACTACACGATTCGAAGTGGGAACAAGCAAACGACGCAGAGAGTCCGTGTAAATCGGTTTCGACCCTTTATAGAAGCATGACTATATGGACCCCTGCCTCAGAAAAATCAACCCTTCGAAGACCTGAAATTTTCTTATCTTAGGGATAAGGGATTTTTCATAGGAGAAACCGGATTGACCTTACAATGCGTTTATTCAATTAAACCATTACTTATAACGTTTTGTCACAGTACCAAAGGAATTATCGGAGCGTCGTACGTGCCAGTTCCATTCCAGGACGAAGAAGCCTGGATTATCCCAACGATAAGCGTTGCAGTGGGGACATCTCGTCTCACTGTCTCCCAGGAATTGGGGTACATGGCATGGCTGAGGAACTGGAGCTTCATTGAAGAGACCACGGAGATTGTAAACATCTTCTACACCGGTCTCGACGTCGGAGCGTACGGGGAGGTCCCAAAGGGCATTAAGGTCCTTTCGATTGCCTTTTCTCCATCGTTTGACCTGCTCCTTGTACTCCAGATGCAGGTCCCCGGGATAATAGGGGAATCTGGTGCACTGGAAAAACCAAAAAATAGGGGAAAATTAGAGGAAATAGAGACTTTGAATATCGAGGAGAAACAGAGTAGCAAGATAGTGGAAGAGGTAATCGGACTCACCAGGTATTCAAACATGAATACATCCACCGAATGCTTCAGATATGGGTGTTCCCTGACGGAGCGATTCGGTTGGGCAACAGGAGCTCCGAGTCGATCCCAAACACTTCTCTTGACGGGCCGTCTCGAGTGGTTCCAAGGGCAGTCCAGAGGATGGTGCTCGAAGCTGAGACAAACACGGCAGCGGGGCGCTGATCTTTTCGGGGAGCCCTCACAACGAAGTCTCTTTGCAGGAGAGCCAGATGAAGGTACGGCACTCATTCCAGGATGGAATGAAAACTTAATTACTGAATTGCTGGAGCGCAATGGGCAAGCACGAGAGAGGTGTCCGAGCTTATCGCACTTGAATCATCTTTTTGGAGCTTCAGGAACGGATGATGACGGGCGAGGTCCTACCCGACGAGATCTCCTGCAGATACCGCAGTTTGAGGACGTCCCACACTTGGCGAAGGGACAATTTCGGAAAACATGTCCGGCTATTCCACACTTGAGGCACTTTCCTGGATTCATCTCGATGATTTGGTGTATTATAACCTTTTCGCTCAAAACTTTGAAGAGGACTGTGACTAAGTGGGGGGACAGGCACCTTTATATCAAAGGGTGCAACGTCGACAAACATGGCCGCGGTCAAGTCAAGGTCGGCGTCAACGTCACCTGGAGTCAATGTCCGGCTTAAGTTCAAGAACCTGTTTTCCTGCTTCCTTTTTTTTGTTTCCTGTTTTCATGTTTTCGCAAAAACACGAAAATCGATGGGTTTTGCAATTTCCTTCATAATGCTCATGCTAGGGAGCATGGTCACTGAAGTACGCGGGGAGGGGCATGTGATTAAAAAGTTCATTCACACTCCTGGAATCCATTTTGAGCCTATCGGGAGATTGTATCTGAGCAATCAGGTATGGAGTATAGCTGCATCAACTGATGCATGGCCTTGGATACTGAAAGCTGATCAGGTCCATGAGCATCTTAAACATGCTAAGAAGCTATGCAGTAAAGGTGTATACGAAAGCGGGAAAAATTTCGAGCTGTTAATTGATCAATGGTCTGAAGACTTTGCAGAGACTAAAGATGTTATCTCGGGGATGTTGGGGATCAATGACTCCTCAAAGAAACGCCAACGTCTCATAGACGAACTAGGGTCTGTTGCCAAATCATTGTTCGGTACAATGGACGCTGAGGATGCACTGATCATTAACCAGAGTCTCTCACAGCTAAAGAGTGGGGTTGAAGGGACGTTCGATAGTCCTCGCAAGCAGATAGAGATTATTAAATCAACTCTCTATCAAGTGGAACACACTGAGGAGATGATTCAGAAAAACGAGGAGATTCTGATGAAGTCCTTAACAGACAAGGATTACGAGATGCTAACAATCACGGATAAATTAGAGCTCGATGAACATCTCATGATACGAGAAGCAATCTACACTGGAGTAATGAGGGATGCTGCGAAGATCAGGAAGCTACTAACCGATGCCAAGGGGTCGATATTGAATACGGAAGTCTTCACAGAGACAGGGTTAGTCACCCTTCTCAAAGCAGCAAGTTATCGAAGGGTTTAATTTTCCCCTTTGAGCTCGAAGTAGGCGGAATGTATCAAATGCAGGAAGTATCCACCGAAAGTATACATGCATTCGGATTTAAAATTATCACCTTGGTGGAAATACCGCTGGTCAACTTCCAAGCGTTCGACATTTTGCTGACGGATGGAATTCCTCTGCAGACAACGAACGGGTATCATTCATACCTGGAGGCGAAGAACGAGCTTCTGGTGATACACGGGGCGACACAACAGTTCGTGCCAATGACCGCTGGACAATTGAATCACTGCAAGACGATTCGGGGACAATACTTATGCACCGAATCTCTTCCAATTCAAAAAGTAAAAGATACGAGTCCATGTGATGTACAAATGTACATGAGTCCTCAGAAGATGCCTGCTACATGTGTCGTGAAACACCAGCAGCTTCAAGGGCTCACCCTCATAAAAATGAGAAAGGACAATGCATGGTTCTACGTAATCCCAGAACCTAAGGGAGTAGTGTCACCTGTGGTGACAAGGAAGTACGGGATATCCTGGAGGACTCAGGAATCCTGCGAGTCGAGGACTTCTGTGAGATAGTAGCAACTGACTTCACTATTAGAGGCAGGAAATCACACGAAGTAACATTCAACGCTCATGTTCACCCAAAATTGAACTTGACATTGGATGACGTCACCGTCACCCAGTTAGAACAGCGAAGATTTAATCTGAGTGACGTCCAGCTGACCAATGTTGTCGGGAACATGAAGGACCTGGAAGGGCTTCACGTGCAACTGACAGCTGAGAAGAAGAACCTTAATAAAACCCAGAATAAATCCGATTATCGAGAATTTCTCACGCACCCTTCATCGATTTTCACTGGAGTGATGATAATCCTAGCGATCATCCTAGGGCTGACCCTTTACTGCTGGTGTCGAAAACCATGGCCAGTGCGTAGGAGGGAAGCAGCGAACTTCGGAATACCATAAGAATATATGTATTGTAATGAATTGTAAATAATTGCTGTAAATTATGTCAATTAGGTATTGCGTCGATGAGATGGGGTTATTAGAATAGAAAATTTCTGAGGGTAGTAATTTTCTTTCCTGGCGGGGAGGAATGTTATGCCCCTAAATAACGTTATAAAATCCCTCTGTTTATCCGGATAATATGAGGACACGAAAGTGGCACATAATATCCGAAACAAAACAGAGAATGAAGAAATATAAAATAATGTCGAATATTCGTATATAAAATCCACGTATATTCGACGAATGTAGATAACTGGAGTGTAGCGTCAGCACTTTGCGGTTCGACGACTGGCCTTCGCGGGCGCCGGGAGACGTCATCCGATGCCTCACAGGTGTGCGATGAAGAACAATGACCTGATGCAATCGAATCCACAAGGGAATGAAAACCCGTGAATTCGTTGCCTCTTGCCCAGTTATTCGACGAGTCTTTAATTATCTTCTTTATACTTTATATTCGCCTGATACCTTCAGTATCAGACCGACTTCTTATTTATTCAATAAATGGTTAATTAATTGTTCAAAACCGCTTCCCAATAAAGAACATTATTTCCATTATATATTGAACCCATCCGCTCAGCTCCATAACAGTGCAGACTATGGAGCGATCGGACTGAAACTGTA